CCGTCGCTATGATACTGTCGCTCTCGCCTCCAAACACGCCGCGATTTACACGTCCAGCATGACCAGTCCACCGGCGTATCGTCTGCGCCGTTTGCACGTCCCACAGGAAAACTGTCTTATCTCCGCCTGTGCTGACAAACTTGTCATTGGCCGAGTTCACATGGATGCTGAGGACTTCATAGCCGTGCGCTGTGTATTTGTTCACGAGGCCAGGGGGTCGTTGCGAGGACGATGTTGGGGCGGTAGAGGTAGGCGGTGCTTTCGAGGGGTTGTAAAGACGGATTGTGCGGTCGGACGAGCCGGTTAGGATGTAGGTTTGGGATCCTGAGGAGTAGGCGACTGCGTGAACGATGCCGGCGTGGCCAGTCAATTTGGCGATGGGCGTTGTTGGGAATGACATTGCGCTCTCACAGGCAATGGCAAGCTGAGAAGTGCGATATCAGCCTGCTTGCTATCGATCGCGCACGCGACGGAGTTCTTCTATGAGGAAGCGAAGGTTATGTTCTCTGATGCCGCAGCTATCGAAGCATGGGGTTCAGGGCATTGTGAACAAGATGGTAGGGGTGATGTCGATAGCGGAACACTTGCGCTCTGTTCCTGCGGTTCCTCCCTATCGTGAAAGGGTATGCGATACGCAACTACGCGAAACCGTCAAGGACGCGGAGAGGGAGCAAAGTCGCACACGCGCCTGGCATCTGGTACCTGCCAAGGCCGAGGTGGGGCGATGACGCTCGATTAGCTCCCGCGACTTTTTGGTCCCTCAGTAATTAGCTGCCTATACGCGTCTGAGCATCCACAACAGCTCCCTCGCACTGCAATCACGTGTCGACACTCTCTGATTCTCTTTCCATAACACGTACATAACGCTTTGTTCCACGACATCTCATTATGTCACTCCAGCACCTCGACAGCGCCCCCAAGGCAGACGACTTCACCCCGCTATCAGAACACCAATCTCAGACCCCGACTTCCTTCTTTGGCGCAAAACCCGTCCTACATGCTCATTATGAGGGAATGACTCTAGTCATAGCTGCCGATCAGCTTAAACAAGATGCCGCATTCAGCAAATTCAGCTCCAAGCGCGAGGGCGAAGAGGATCTGGTCGAGGGCGTTGACATTTGGGTGTCTTCAGAGTAGGTCCGGCTGCTGCTGAGCCATGAACCATGCTAATATGTGACTACAGAAATGTCGTTTTGTTCCAAAGCACGCCCTCGCCCGTTGGCGTATCCATCCCGTTCCCATCCCTCGCGCTCCACGCAACGATGAAGTACAAGTCCACCATTGAGGCGCTATACGTAAACATCTCGCTCAACGATGCCGAAACTGTAAACGAAGACGATGACATCCATATGCTCGAAATCACCGTGCTGCCACCATCATACACTTCGAAACCCACAGAGACATGTATCACGGAGCTGTTCAATGCGCTGAACACTTGCGCTGATCTACACCCCGATCCAGATGGCAGCGACGACGATGGCGATGACATACTGGATGATTCAGCGCCCGGCGCATCGGGTTGGATAACAGCGGAGAACATGGATGAATACATGGACGAAAATGGCAACTTCAGCGGCATGGTCATCGGTGAGGAGCTGGGTCCCGGAGCTGGAACAGTGAGGGCAAGGGAAGACGTCGATGGAGACGCTAACGGAACAAACGGTGCGAATGGTCACGAAGAAAAGTACTACCGTACTGGATAAACGTGTATGCATGTCAAGAAGTAAGGGAAATCGAAAGAGTCGAAAAGTATTATAAGAAGGATACCCGAGACAACACCAGCAATTGGCTGCACTTCGGTGGCTGTGAGTGTCCACTCGTTTCGCCCTGTTCAGCACAATCACCCTCACACCTTCAGCAGATCACCTTTGCCACGCAGGGCAGTAACAGAGGACGTTCACCTCGCCATTCCCATCTCCAACCTCTTCTCTCCCCGCTCAACATATCTCGTATAAACTGGCAACGGTTCCCGAACCACGCCAACCTCCAGACCTTTCTGCTCGTCGTTGATCATTCTTCTCGCCCTATTTTGCCATTCCGCCCCCCCTACTTCGCGTTTGCCGATGACTTTACCGGCTTTCACATTACGTCGTAAGCGGCGCTGGTACAGGAGGTAGGTAAGTACGATGACACCGAGAAGACTGATGATGAGCCCGACGATGATAGCTGTGCGGATCGATTCCTTGCTAGGTGCTTGAGTAGGCCGAGGGCGCGTGGTCGGCATATCAAGAAATTCGAAAGGATAACACCCAGTATGCAATGTGCTGATGGGCTTTTGCTTATGGCGAGGAATTTTCGAGTGATATACAGGCCACTTGTACAGAGGGACCTCCGATGACGCGAACAAAGATTCTGATCTGCCCAATAACGAAACACGAAGTATGTGAACATGCAGTCAAGATTTTCCTGTCTTCTGGTTCAGCAAGATTCAGCAGTCATTCACCTTCCTGTACTTACAATGGTAGTGACTCACAGTGCAATGTAATCGTTCGTCAAGAAACTAGTTCACGATAGACCATGTATAGTGGTTGTGTGCAGTAGCAGAAGCAAGCTCTGGTGCTCTGCTCTTCACATAATTTACTAGATCTACGACGTAAGGCTGACCCTGACGCTGCACAACGCATACACCGATCTGGCATTCGACCATCTTCTCAGCCTGACCGTTTGGCCTTACTTCCACCAATCAAAAGCCAACGTATTTGCCCAAAAGCCCCAAAAGGCGTTTGTCCAGATGCAGGTTCGACGTACCCGCCGGATATGTCGACTTTCTCCTCTTCTCTGCGTTTGTAAGAGTGTCGCTCATCGCCGTAGTTGGTCATAGTGCTGAGCCTCAGGCCTTGGCTTGGAAAAGAAGTGATCTGGAACGTTTGTCGGTGGGACTTGATACGCTGGCTGCTGAGTGCAGGAAGAGAAGCAACATATCGTCGGCTGGAAAGTGGCCTCCAACGCCAAGACGCCACTAATGTTTCTATCTTGTTGGAGACTGTGGCAAGGCCGGGTACCGAACTCGCGAAGGAGGGCTTGCAACAGGTGCAGGCTGCAGTACATCGGCGTACATTGGTGGCCATCCTGAGAACGAACTGCTATTCGCGTGGGGTGCAATCTCTGAATACGCACGTCTATCCTCTCTCACGGCTTCGTGATATGCTGGAGGCACATCTTCCAAGGGTGCTCCTTCATTGTCCTGACCTCCACTGATCCGCCCTCCCTGGTCTTGTCTTGCTCCAACTAGGTTTCCGCCATCTCCACTTCTACTGTTGTGGCTGTCTCTCCCTTGGGCACTTCTGGCTTCGCCGTACAGCGCTTCCACAAAACGCCGTTCAGTTGTGGCCCCTTCTTCCGCAGCCTGCTGGCTACGCAACTCGCTTAGGAGCATTGGTCTCTTTCTTTCTCGGGCTTGAGAGTATTGGGGACTATAGCAGCATCTCAGTAACGACAGGATAACGATGACTGCAATGACTGTGCCGATAATGACTCCAATACGTTTGCCAATCGGCCAGCCATACCATCCGTCCGTTCGACAGCGGTTGAATCTGGATTGAATGCAAGCACGAATTTGATTTCGAGCGTGAGTTGTGTAGGCTGCATGCGAGAAATATGCATGCAACCAGCCTTGGGTCGTTGTAGGGGTAGGAGTCACGGTAGGTTTGGAAGGCGGAACGCCGGTCATGATTGCTGCTAAGGTGGCTCGAAAATGAAGATGGGCGCCATTACATCCAGTAACTCTAGCAGGACGAAAACCATGCTATGTATACCTCCAGGTATCGAGTCGCATATTTGCAGCTTGTACCGGTTAGGGATACCAAGCATCGTATTCCCATCGAACAGAACGCCACAGCGTATGCAAAGCCTAGGGTTTCCATCTCGTGCTTCCTAACCGAGCTGGTGCAGTTGCAGGATTGGCGGGAACATCATGTCATGAACCTGCAAGCGCACTCTGATCAGCCGCGTGACCTTGAGGCTGGGCTCTCGTTGCCCGAACACCCGGATGTCAGCCCTGTGAGGCTGATTTTGGCCGCATATCCGTTTGCTGACTTGGATGGGTGGTGTCGCGCCTCCACCGTTTATTTTGCCAAGCCGGAGGAGATCTGAAGTGGAATCTTATCGCGGACCTGCTATCGGAAAGACCTGTTCCAAGGATGGTGTGGCATACTTGTTCTGTATCGAAGGTTTTGCTTGATCCAGGGGATTCAGTATTCAGACATTCTCGTTTACTAGCAGTGCCAATGAACGTGAATCCAGAGATAGAGGAAGCGCCGACAGATGCTCGCGTCTATGTGTATACCAATTTGCAATGTCGACGTTCGTCGGTGAGATTGGAAACCTGATTTCAGAGGTGGCCTAGAGGTACGAACGTCTAGGAAAGCAGCAGGCATCGGCGGCGCATAAATACGTTTCTGTCGACTGCGTAAGATATCTTATCCCTGGCCAAATTGTATACTTGGCCATGCTTGAGCGTTGCAAGATGGACCGAGGAAAGGAAAGACGTGCCGAAGCTCAACGCATCGCGGCGAGGCTGGGTACATCATAAAGGGCGATAACGATCGCAGATAGAACAAAACGGCATACAACACCACAGAAGGGCGCTCATTGCTAGACGCGATAGGTTATGGGTGCAAGCTTCTTAAAGACAGTCAAGTCCTGCGGCGCGTTCGTACCAGGTAGCCGCCAACCTTACGCGTCAGCGTCGCCATGCGCCATCCGGAGACATCCGCGCCACACTGTGGCTAGCCAATCAGCCACACCGGGACAAGGATCATGACGTTGAAGCATGAGCGCTCAGTAAGGTTTACGCATGGGCGTGATGGCCTTTAGGTTGTTTATAAGACCTGAGAGTCCCCGCGAATAGCTAGTCGCATACCTTTACTAACTCGAGAAGTCACACAGTCCGGCGTGCGACATCAAACGCAGACAAACAGTCATCACCTGTGCATACATCAACTATCGCAGCGCATAACCAAGTACATCACCACAGCGCGAAACAGAAGCCAGTCGCAAATATGATCAAAACGCTGCTCTTGATCCTCATCACAATCTTCAGTAAGCTTTACTCCTTCTCTCTTCCGATCAAATTTCAACTAACCTGTCCACAGTCCCACCCCTCGGTGTCTTTCTCGTAGCGGGCTGCGGCGCCGACTTCTTCATCAACCTACTCCTCACAATCCTGGGCTGTAAGTATCTTCTGTCAAACCGCTCACGAGACATGCGCTGACTTCTCCTGCGCCCAGACTTTCCCGGTCATATCCACGCCTTTTACGTCGAATACGTGTACATCAAGCGACGCGACGAGATACGCGCGGGCATTTACAACGCGCGTCCTGCACCGGGTGTGTACAGTCAGAAAGTACAGAATGGAGGCCACAATAGCGTGCCTGTCGCGCCTCCGCCTGCGGGCGTAGAGGCAGGACATGGGGTTGTGCCGGCACAGCAGGGTTACGTTCAGCAGCAGCCACAGGGATATGGAACGGTGCATTAGGTTGTGAGTAGAGCAGTTGAGGACCTGGTCCCACAATAGAACAGAGGGGTCGTAAGTCTGATAGGATGTGTTAGTCGCATTCAGAGGGGGAGCGTGTCTAATGGGCTTACGCTTGGCTTTTGTGATCATCATTCTCCGCGTTGTTTGTAGCACAACTCACTTATCTTGCTTCACGCTCAGGCTGCAAGTGATCATGTCCTTGACATTGCTCGTAGTATTGTACATATATGTACAGTGTTCTTATAACAGTATCCAGGAAGTCAGGTGAGGCAGTGTAAGACGCTCTCGTGGGTCTACCTCTTCTTGGCCCTGCCCTTCTTCTTGCCACCCATCATGGCCGCTGCAGCCCCGGCACCCTTCTTCTTCTGTCCCTCGGACGTACCCAGGGCAGCCTTCTGCCTGAGGTACATCCTGACGACGTTCTCCACGCTTCCCCTGTCGTGCTTGACAGTCCTCATGTACGTCAACCTGGCGCGTCTTGCCCTCTTGGCCGCCCGCTGCACAACCTCTATACCCTCTACCAATGGGCTGTAGACCTTGTACCACATCTCCACGCCGACACGGGTAAGCTGGCCGCGCAGGAGGATAGCAGTGTCGGTACCGCGACGGCGGATGTTGATGCATACGCCAGCGAAGGGATCGCCGGTGCGTTGGCGCACAAGCAGGATGTCGCCGACTCGCGCGCATTCTGGGTTGTCCTTTGCGAAAAGGCGGGTTCGTGCTCCGGTGGGGTCGAGGAGGCTGATCTGCGAGGCGTTCACGGCTGAGATGGGGTTGGGACAGGTTTTCTTGATGTTGAGCGTAGTGGGCTTGAAGACGGGTACGCCGAACTGGTGGCCTGTGGGATAGAGTCAGCCATTGCAATATCTTCCAGCATGCGGCAATGTGGCCAGGCATCGAGGGATGGCCGTACTCAATTGGTGGTCTACACTCTTCTGCTTCATCACCGGCTGCCACTTGGAGTCGATGGGCTTCTTCTGTTTCCGGCGCTTCATTCTCACCAGTTCCCCGCTTTTGAACTGGCCATCTTCTCCGTACAAATGCGGATACAAGGCTCTGTGCAACCGCTGGCTGAGATCCGGCTCCTGCGTTGACAGCCGCTGCTCACGCCTGGCGGGCAATATGGGCGTCGTGGGCGCTGCATCGACAGCGACAGTCTCGGTGCTTGCGAATCGTTTACATCGTGCGGCTCGGAAGGCGACTCGCTGGGCTGTAGCCCGCGTGCAGGGTATGACGGCTGACATTGGCGGGCGGAGTTGCAGTCGTCGCCGCATACAGTCCAGCTTCATGAAATTCGAGGTCGCTTATGTCAGCAATCGTCCGTCCCGCATAGCCCAATTGCCTGGCCCCCCTTCACAACCACATGCTTCACTAATGGCCTCGTGCAATTCATCTTGGCAATTTTCGGTATTTGTGTATCATTTTTATCTTGGCTACAGTTCAAACACCGTCGCAATGCACCGATCGTAATCGGTGTGAACCTAGCCCGTACACCCACATCGCTTCCATGAAACAGTCAAGTGGACATCTCCCTAGTGGAGTGATTAAGAAAGGACTAACTTTTGAAAATGCAGATCACCACCGCCCCTGGTATACCGCAGTGTATGCACACGCTGAAAAAGGCAGCCCAAACACCATGCTTGCGCGATGTCGAGCGAGGAAACCACGTGTGTTCCAGACAACGACATGGACCCGCAGAAAGAGCCCGGAATTGCCGCCCTAGGCATCCCATCGCCATGCATTTTACCGCTTTTCTACCCCGATACTCCAAAGGAAAGGTAAGGCCAGACGCCGTTGAGATGCTACCGTCCGACGCCGAGGGAACCAAGGGGACATGTCGAACCGAAGGAATTAGAGTCGCGCCTGGTTGAGCTGCTCGCTTAGACCCAAGACAACGTTGGAATGCTGAAAAATCTCGCCCTGGAAGATGAAGCCAGCCGTCAGCAATTGATCTGTTCAAAGTCGATCTCGATCTCTCTCCTAGGCGTCTCTACCTCTTCCATCCAAGTGAGACCGTTGGCAGCCTCTTCCACAGGGAACACCTCCTGGGCATACTCCTCCATGGATCGGTTTCCCTCCCACAGTTCAAGGGATACCTTGGGAACGTCTGGCTCAAGATCGGGTCCAAAGTACGGTGCGCCCTTCTCGCCCAGTGTGTACTCCAGCGCGGAAAGGTGCTCCCGATAGCCTGTGGGTGTGGGCACGTTGATCATTATGGGGCCCCGCTTGTAGCGGACTGGTCTCCGGAGGCCCGTACTGAAAGCTTTACAGACTTCTCTCGGGGTCATTGACGCAAATGCAAGCGGAATCCTGAGTCAGTCAGTACATAGTCCAAAATTATACGTGCCCTACAGGTATCTTGTGATGCAGCCACGTCATGACAGCATGCGAGAAAATAGCGGAAAATTTTACAGTCGACCACCAGTGATGCTAAGCCACCAGATCGAACCACTGTGGAGACTGTCCGCATGATGTGGACCGGGATATGCAGATGCAGAACACGCTTACCGCTTGCCATTCCACTTTCGTGGACCTTCCTTAAATAGTTGGTAAATAGCTGGTCCTATATCATGTTCCGAGTCCAACCAGGGCAGAGGCTGATCTGGGTGGAATGGTGCTTGCCAGACGAAACTTCCATCGTACTGGTGCTCCATGCGGAATAGCGGGAAGTCGAGACCGGTAAAGTTGTTGTGGTAGATGCCGCAGTAAACAAAGGTTGCTGGCAGGCCGATTTGGCGGATGTACTGTTCGACGGTGAACTTGGGTGCCCATAGTGGTAGTGATCTCCAGTTGTTGCCAAAGACAGAGTGGTCGGGCATGCTAGAGTAGATGTAGTGTTGGATTCCGGCCTTCTTTGCGGCATCGGCAAGCGATCGACCAATCGAAACCTCGTCTCCCCAGTGCGTGGTATTTATGAATGCGCATTGCGCGCTCTTGAACAGATCGTCGAGAAATTTCTTGTCTTCCAGCGCGCCAATATAGACAGTGACATTGTCCAATTCCGACAGCTCCCGCGCAACTATTCCGTTCAAGTCTCGCATCTGCGCTCGTACTTGCCATCCTAGTGCGGCGGCCACGCGAATGAAGCTCGCCGATTGGCGGCCATTGCTGTTGATGGTAACGACGGTCCTTTGCATTCGTGTATCCTTGAGCGAGAATCTTGGGCGAAAAGAAGTGCTTTTGAGAATTTTTTCGCAGTCCTGTGGAAGTTGCGACTTTCGGAAGGGTGGTTGTGAGTATATAAAACACAAACAGGGCCAAGGCGCGAGGATACCGGGCAGTCGTCACCTGGGGCTCCGGGAAGTAGGCAGTAGCTCAATGGCGGGTGAGGGTGAGATAAGGACTTGGTGTAAGGGTAGTGGTAACCTTGGGAGGGATTCGGTTCGGCGGCGTCAGCGATGCCGGTTCGGCGGGCAGATAATAACGTGCTTGCGACGCACAAAGGTGGTCAAGCCTCTGATAGTGCGATCGATGGCAGGCACGTGAGTCGCTTTATGCAGGGTTGCGCGAAGCTAGTCGTCGTGTTCTGAGGTTGAGGTTGCGGTCCGATTCCTTTACCTTTGACGTAGACACACGCAATGTTTAAAGAGCAGAGCTACGGTCAAAGACGCCGACCGGAGAAACAGGAGAAGCTCGAAACGAGCCGTTTTTTGTATGACATTACAGCCAAGTTTGGGCTCGCCATTTGCATTGCTGGGAAAAGCCTTACCTAATAGTCCACCCGCAAGGGCGAATAGGCTCCGCTTGACATCGCGAACACCTGACCGCGGCCAGTACTTACCACAGTTGGCCAGCGCAATATGCCCGTAGTGGTCCACTCTATCACTCGAGACTGTTCGAGTTGCTCTACTGGGCCATGGCGGAACAATCTCGCAGGATCGCCTTTCGTTTTTCGACACGCCATACTATGCATACACAAGCGAGCAGCGTGCACCATCATCCGACTGCAACGAGCTTGGTAGGCTAATTCATAGACGAGCGCTCCACATTCGAATCTGCTCGTAACGCAAAGAAATCGATGAGGGGCAGTGTCTGCGAGTCAATGCGGGGATACACTAAGTTCAGGGACCGCGAATGACGGATTTATGGAGCCGTCAGAAACCGCTGCGCTGTACACGTTGCTGAACTCGGAGCCATCTACCGTCACCTGTAGGAAACGTGCTATGAACGAGTTACCCCGAGTGTAAGGGACATCACGGTGTCGATTCTTGGCACAGAGATTTCTTTTACTAACTGAAACAAGCTCCCGAGGTCTCCATGCCTTTAGCGGGACGCCCTGGTCGATGTACATCTTCAATCTATATGTGGACACGCACTTGAATAACTTCCCCACACGCATGGCGGGTCTATCCAGCACCATCGTTTGGTGTATACCTTCATGTCCACGTCGACCCCGGCCATACCAGCGTTACTGCACAACTGCGGTCGACCACGACTGCTCCTATCAGCGGCAAGATTCCGAGTGGGTTGCGCTCCATGATAGCAGCCGGGATATTGTCGCGTAACTCCAATGATTCACCTCTGTCAACGCCGCAGCATTCGTCGGGCTGATTCCGGTGCGTCACCAGACTTTGGGGACCAACGTGCCATATATGGCGACATTTCGAGGCGCCATGCATCCATCATATAGACAATTCGCTCGCTAGGCTGCAGCCAACAAGCAGCCACAATCAACCGTGCTCCCAGCAGTGCTCAACGTGCTGCACATTTCAGCCAATCACACGGCTCCAAACTTCAGCGTTGCCGTCGCCCTCTGACGCATGCAACTTTGCGGCACTGACTTCATCGCTGTGAAGATGGGCTCCTGCGTCGATTAATGTCTGTACGTGATCTGGTAAGCCAGCCGCTGCGGCCAAGAAGAGCGGGGTATTTCCTGATCGGTTTCGAAGATGCACAGAGGCGCCTTGGGCCAGAAAGTCGCGCAGAATCTCAACGTTGGGGCTTGTTGCCGCAAGATGCTACACCGGCACGTCAGCAAGGAACGCAATCTCGCTCAGACGGATTAAGTCGCTCCAGAAGCGAATGCAATGCGGTGATGGGCTGGAAGATAAGCGACTGCGTCTCACCGCACTACTGGGGCACAACTGTGAGCTGTTTGGCTCTGTCCCTCTGAGCCGGCGGCGTCTCGTTCCTTTATCTTGATAATGGTGTATGCGTTACGAGCCGTGCAGCAAATATGGTGCAACCCTTCCGATACCGGCTCTTGCATGATACAGGAACAGTGAAGGTCTCAAATTGCGTGCTGTTGTTGGAAGGTGACTCGGAGGGCAGAGATAGTCATAAGGATGCTGAGTGGATGGAATGGCACTTACTACAGGGCTGTTCATTTGATAATCTGCATCGTTCAACAACCAGCGAGGCTCTCCTCGAATTATGTCTTTTGTCGCTTGCAGGTCGCCCTTTTGGACAGCATAGCCGAGCGCTGTGAGACTTGAAAGCTCAGGGGTAAGGACACCACTTCTTGACGGGTGCTCGAAATGTGTCCTTGTAGTCTCAGTGAGCTCGCCACGTAAGGAAACAGACATGCGCTTCGCAACCTCTTCGGGGGTAGCATCCGGTAGCGCAAGGAGGTATGCCAGCTTAGTGAGCGCTGCCTCTGAGGTTAGATCCTGGCCGAAAACGACGCCTGCACGACCGAGGTACGCTCCTGGGGCGTACAGGGCGCTGACACTGCCACTCAGACATTGTGTTACATTCACAATCACGATCCCTCTCTTTACCGCATCCGCTAAGCATCGCGTCATTGCGCTGTCTGGTCCTCCAGGGGTATTTCCGGCTCCAAAGGTTTCCAGTACCAGTCCTTTGAGGCCTTCCAAGCGTAGGACTGCATCTACCATTGCAGGTGTAATACCTGGGAACACCCGCAGGCAAGCTACATGTGCTGTATCCAGACTGGTCTGTATGGTAAAAGGTCTTAGATCGACAGACCTATGAACGCGATGCCACAGGACGTTCGTCTTGGTAGATGAGACAGTAGCCAACGGTGGTAAATTGGGGCTACCAAAAGCGTCAAAGTCTTCTGCAGATACTTTGGTCGCGCGGTTTCCTCGGAACAGCTTGAAGTTGAAAAATAGACACACTTCCGGTATCATAAAATGCCCAGCAATGATCAGAGAATTCAGGAGGTTGTCCTGTGCATCGGTTTGCAAGTTCATCATTGGCGCTTGAGATCCCGTCAATATCACCGGCTTCCCCAGATTATGGAACATGAAACTCAACGCCGACGACGTGTACGCGAGAGAGTCTGTGCCATGCAAAATAACGAAACCATCGAAGAGTTGGTAGTTTCGCTGCACCGTCCGGGCAATTTGATCCCAACCAGTCGAGTCAATAGAGCTACTATCGAGCAACTTCTCGAACTCGAGGACGCAGTATCGCACGCGGCGATCATAGGTGCTGACTGGAGTTCTTAGACTTTGAACGGCTTTGCGTGTGCCCTTGTCGTCGGTAACAATCTCCAAAGGCTCGGGGTACGATCCATCATTGAAGACTGGTCTGGGTGCAAGTCCAGCTTTGAGGAAACCCCGCGCAGGTACCAGTCCGTCTGGAGATTTGCGCATGCATATCGTGCCGCCTAGAGAGGTCAGTACGGATGAACATATAATGTTCACTCCATGAATATATACCCGTTATGACGATCAAGACCCGTGACTCTGGCAGTTGTAGCTCGGGGTATTGGTCGTCCATCTCGTTAACGCGCTAGAGGATCGAAGTTGTCGTAGGCCTTATCTTTGTTTGGCGGAGACTTGTGGATGCGAGCAAGCTATTCGGTGCGAAAAAGCAATGCTATGAGTGGTAGCTGGGTTCTGTCGATCGAGATCCGTCTGACAAGGTAGTGCCTTTGAAAGTTCGTCACGATCCGGTACCACACAAAGCAAAAAAGATAAGAGCCACCTTGGGACTCAGTCTTGGCAAGATAGCGAGTAGCGTAGCGCAATTCACTCGCAGCGATACCTACTGACCATCGGAGAAATGTTGCAAATCGTCGTGATCAAGTTGCCCTTTCCCATCGGGCCGAAGTAGCAGGTTCGACCATGCGACCCACCTTTAGGTATTCTGATTACCCCTACAAAATCATCCGTATTACCCCTTCGAAACTCGATTCTATTACCCCTACGAAACTGAAAATTTGCATCGCGAAGCCAGGTCTGATCATGCTCGCGTTAAGAAGGCCCGCAGCTGCATGGGAACCATCGGCTTAAGAGATCCACGCGTTACGTCACGAAAACCGCAAAATTTAGATGCGTACAGTACCACGTGTGAACGCGATTGGAAACAGTATCTACAGCACCACTACCGCATAAGTCTCTGTCATGTCTGCGCCTTGCACTACTTTGACTTTTATCAGCCCGGCCCAGACCTCACGATGCGCCTTTCGCGGCTTCCTTGGCAGCATTCGCACGCGCCTTCTCTAAAGCCTTGACCTGTTCCCAGTTGTTTTTCACCCACTTGAGCACAGCGTCTTTGTTGTCCGCCGATACAAATTTGGACCAGATTAAAGGCTCACCAAGGTTGGGCTGAGACGAAATGCGCGGCTCATTATCCTGGAACACGACCCAACGCCTCAAGCCCTTCAGAACGAGAGCGAGAGAGTTGCTTTGTATTGGGACCGTGACTTTGATCTCCTTCCAGAGCTCTTCTTCCGCTGTCTTGAGGTGATGATCCTTCATCATAGTGTCGTACTCATCCTGCTTCTTGAAAACTGTAAGAGCCTCTTCCAGTACTTGCTGCTTAGTCCACGTGTTTGCATCACCTCTGTCGGGATGCGCTGGCATGTAGTCCTCTACAAAACGCTGGTACATGGGCCGCTTTGCTTGCCGGGCTCGATCGTTGTGCTTCTCGACACGCCCTTCGAAGATTTTATGTGAAAAGAACCTCCCGCTGGAGGCCCAGTCAAAGAGATCGTCTTCATCTTTGAACCCTGACCAGTATTTTGCGACATCCATGCCGTAGAAAGCGATGGCGAGATTTGGATCTCGTGTGAGAAATAATAGCGCTTTCTTCTTGTTGTATGGCTCAATTTCTTCGACTCGTACATGCAGGCCCTGGTCATTGCAGGTGAGACCCAGCGGACGATGAGAGACGCCAATGATTTGCACGAGGTCAGCGTCGCCTTTCATGAAGCGCGTCCATTCGAAGAGCTCAGCGCTTTCCGGGGTTTCATCTCCAACCGAAAGTTCGACGTCGACTTGCACGTGTGCATCTGGTATCTCGGGATGTCGCACGGCGTAGGAAGAGGACCCGCCGCGTGGGAGATGGATATCGGCGTCGAGATTCTTTTGTATCGCTGCCCATATCCCCTCTTTGGTGTTGGGTGGCCGAATGCCTTCTACCAAGAAGTCGATGTCCCCATGGTCTGTCTTGGCTGGAGCGTCACGCGGGACGACAACACGTACGAATAGTGTTTCCAAAAGGCCTTGATACTGCGCGGAGAGCGTCTTGTACAGTGCTGGTGGCAGGCGAGGGACCTTGATGGGTCTGCCGGAGTCTGTTGGAACATTCGCGAACGCGAGACCTCCCATGGCTACCTAAGTAGCGAGTATTGCGCAAATCGTTGTCGGGCCTGGTAGAAGCGGATTGCGTGTTGTTCTCGTTGAACTCTGAGTACTATGACATACAATCGTCGAACAGAGGGAGTAGCGAGCTTATATGGCACTGTGGGGTATCGGGTGCTGCCTATCGTGAATGTACCAGGGCGCACTGCCAGGAGCGACGCTGTGGCGGAGTGAAAGCAAGTCATCTCTGTGACTCCCAGTTGCTAAGGGCCTTCTGCTGACGTGCCCGCCGCGTTGAAAGAATCGCGATGCAGATTCATTTTCCGCACCATAGAACTTCGCGTCGGTCTATCGTGTCGACGAAACAGGATAGATAGATGCGTTCTGCTGTCAAAAGGGGGATGAACGTGTGCACGGGTGCGTGGGGCCGAACACCTCCGCCTTTTTAAGTGGGCCCCGTCGCGCAAACATCCCTGCAGCAGTTCGGAAATTTTATAAACAATGCTCACGGCTGAAGTCTTTCGTCATTCCACCAAGGTTTAATGTCTGAAGTGTCTGATTGTTGCTCACCCGGCGGTAGCTGCTCGAAACCCATGGATCACCAAATGAATGAAGTAGACGTCGCTCGCTTCGAGGAGCTTGCGGCTCTTGAGCACGAATTCGAAGACGTGGAAGAGGAGATCAGTAAGTTGCGATTCCATTCCTATCACGTCGCGTCTTGAGAAAGGGAATCGCATTGCTAACCCCATCGCAGTCCGCCAAGCCGAAGCTCTGCAGGGCCCTCTCTACAAGAAGCGCGCCGACTTCGTGACAAAGATCCCGCACTTCTGGTCGCTCGTCTTCGAGCAGGCGCCGCCGGAGATCGACAACTTCATCCAGCCCACAGACTCCAAGGTTTTCGCCGAGTGTCTCGATACTTTTGAGGTGTCGCGGATCGAGCTCAACGACCCCAATGGCTCCCCGCGCAGCTTCTCGCTCAAGTTCGGCTTCACCGACAACGAATACTTCGAAGACAACGTGCTCGAGAAGAACTTCTGGTTCAGGAAGACCAAGGACTGGCAAGGTCTAGTTTCCGAGCCTGTCAAAATCAACTGGAAGAAGGACAAGGACCTCACCGGTGGTCTCACGGATGCGGCATACAAGCTGGGCGAGATGAGGAAGAAGCTGGCAACCGACACTGCTAACGGCGTTGCGAGGAAAGAGGAGGCCAAGACTAAGGAATATAAGAACCTGGCCAAGAAGATCGAAACAGCTACAGACGCCTCTGTTAGCTTCTTCGGTCTCTTCTCTTTCGTCTCCGGCTATCGCTGGGTCAGCGCACAGGAGTCAGCACAGGCTGCCAAGGAGGAGAAGGAGAGGTTCGAGAAGATCAGGCGAGGGGAGAAGGTCGATGACGAGGATGAGGCTGAAGACGAAGAAGACCCGCAAGACTACCAGGAGATCGAGGTCTTCCCAGGCGGCGATGAGGTTGCTACCATCCTCGCCGAAGACATGTGGCCTAACGCTATTAAGTACTACAGTATGTGGCATGCGCTTAACTACTCTTCATCCCATCGCTAATGGATCACAGAGAGCACATTCGACGAAGACGAAGACGACGAGGAACTGTCCGACTTGGATGTCATGGATGCTAGTGACGATGATGACGACGACGACGAACAAGAACCAGTCGACATTCGCGCATTGGTGGGCAAGGGTCGCAAGTCAGAGCAAGAGCCGCCCTCGAAGAAGCAGCGCAAGGCTTAAACGTAACGATTCAACATAATCTCGTCGTGGACGACTTCCCACCTTCGTTGTATGTTACGGCGAAGACCATATACCCGGAGAACCTAGCGACATTTTGCTAGGTCTCTTTTACGTAGCGATGAACTAAATAAACCTACTCGTTCATGCCCGACAATGGCATGCTAAAGGTGCGCCTGGGCAAAACGACACGATCCCCTTCTGTGGCATCTACAATCTTTGTTTCGTCGACCCGCCCCGCTCCATTGTCAAACTGCGTCCTTTCGTCCCGTGTTTCCTTCTACCGATCTTACCAAGCTCCGGTCGACGGACCGTTCATGCCTTCTGTTCTGCCGCTCACCTTGCCATCTGGGTACACAGTTTCGCACGACGTCTCTTGGAAGCTCAACAATCAGTCAAGATGGTTGTTGCTTCCCCGCAATAGCTCCGTGCATGGCTTCGAGAAGCTTTGCCTCCACCAATCAATTAGCAGGAGCTTCGATCTATTCCTCATTCGGCACGGAAATTCACTCCGCCAGTTCCGCTGGCCTGCCCGTTGATGACGTTTGCAGTCTTGGTGCAAATCCTCACGCTCGAGCATTCGGTACCGCGACGAAGCTTGGAGCTTACCTTAGCTCCTTGTTGACCAACGATTGCCTCTGTAGCCTTTTGTAATCCACTCCATCGGATGCATAAAGACGATTTTGAGCACTTTCTTGAGGGGTACCATGCACGCCGAGCTCAAAATTTCCGGGTAATCTCCATCGATCAGAGGTTTCCGTCAGCGGGGAGCACAATGAAACCACCCGGTATGATGCGGATAGATCTAGTAAAGGTACATAGGTACTTACTTAAATAGTCTCTGGATCCTATCATGGTGGCGCAACAATTTGTGCTATCCCACCTTGACTCTTCAAGATGGATCAATTGCTGCCCTTCTTCAGTCTTCTAGTTCTCGCCGCTCCCGTCGCTGCTCAGGGCAACGGGACAGCTACTATCTCTTATGTCTTGCCTTCAGGCTACAGTACCTCAAGCTTCAACGCCTCCGCACAGCCCACAGCCTATACCCGCACTGATTTCGGACCCAATGCACTCGCCTCGCTCTGGGACATGGTGGGCCCTATCGCTACAGGCCCCATCACGACTACCGTTGAACCAACAGCAGAGCCAACGGCATATCCGCAGCCAGATCCTCAATACTATCACGCTCTTGTAGGAAGCGGATATCCCGAGGTACAGGGCTTGAAGCTCCCCAAGAACTTTCAATGGGGCTTTAGTTCTTCCGCGTATCAAATCGAAGGTGCGGTCAAGGATGAAGGCAGAGGACCCAGTATTTGGGATTTGCTGGCACATAGGGGTAAGTCCTGACCTGACTACAAGACGTGCATGTGAAACATATACTGACTTCGTACCTCTTTTTCTGCAGTTCCCAACTACGTAGCCGACAATACGACTGGCGATATCGTTGATCAGCATTATTATCTGTATAAACAGGATTTCGCCAGACTAGCAAGTCTAGGAGTCAAAGCCTTCAGCCCTAGCTTTTCATGGCCGCGCTTTTTTCCCTTTGGACATGGCCCGGTTAATGAGGAGGCCATTGCGCACTACGACGACGTGATCAGAACCATGCACGAGAATGGCATTCATCCAGCGGTAACGCTCTTCCACTGGGACACTCCTCTCGCCATATTCAATGAGTACGGTGCCTGGACTGACCGCCGCGTCGTGGACGACTTCTTCAACTACGCCAAGTTCGTCATTACACGGTATGATGCCTACGTTGACGAGTGGTTTACGATCAATGAGCCCCAATACTGCAATTGGCAATACGCCGGGTATCCGGCAGGTGAATACTACCCAGCGCCAAATGGTAAGTCTCTTCATACGAAATGCATGTGAGGTATACACTGACTTCGTTTACCACGGTTCAGGCGTCACAGGCGGCAATGAAGCCCGCTTCCTTTGTGGCCACCATACACTGCTAGCACACGCAAAGGTGTCCAAATGGTACCATGAAGAATTCAAAGGACGCGGCCGCATGACCTTCAAGAACAGCGGTAACTACTACGAGGCCAACAGCACAAAACCAGAAGACGAAGTTGCACGCCAGCGGAACTTTGACTTTAGCATTGGCTGGTTCGGTGGACCATGGACTGACGGTGACTACCCGCAATCGCTCAAAGACACACTTGGTGACCTCTTGCCCGAGTTCACACAAGAGGAAAAGGAGATGATCAAAGGATCGTGCGACTTCTACGCCATCGATCCCTACTCCAGCTTCTTAGCTTTTGAGGTCGATGGCGGGCTGGAGTCATGCACGAGCAACCGGTCACACCCGTCCTTCCCTGACTGTGCTGGTTCAGCAAGTGTGGCTCCTAATGGCTTCCCCATTGGTCCTGCCGCCGACCCGGCCATGTCGTGGTTCTACTCTGCACCTGCCGGCGTGCGCCGCTACCTCAAGCACATTACTCAGGTCCTCTTCCCATCAATCCCGGACATTGTTGTGAGCGAATTCGGGTTTGCGGAGCCTTTCGAAGGACAATGGGTAAGTTCTGACTGTACGAAGTGCATGTGAGACACATACTGACTTCGTACCTCTACCTCTGCAGACGTCCCTGAATTCTGCACTTTTTGACTTGAAGAGAGCGGACTACTTCCAGCAATATCTAGACAACATTTTGCTGGCGATTCATGTGGATGGCGTCAACGTGACTGGAGCATGGGGGTGGTCCATTCTAGACAACTTCGAGTGGGCACTTGGTACGTCGGTCAGGTTCGGAGTACAGTACGTGAACTACACGAGTCTTGAGAGGACACCCAAGGCGAGTTTGTTCCAGTTCCTCAACTGGTTCAAGGAGCATGAAGCGGGCGGGAACGCGACGATGAGGGTGTAGAAGAGGTATAGGGTAGCAACAGTGCTACTGTGAAGTTGGAATCAGAATTATGATCATGTAAATCATGTCATATTTGAACAATCTGTGGTTTTTGAAGAACGTGTGATGTTGGTTGATGGATGATGGTGGTTGATGGATGATGGTGGTTGATGGATCCGCATGACAGCGCGTACCCTGTTCCACATGACGTGTTGCCCTTGTCTGTAATGGCCGGAAGGCAGCCTGGAGCGAGGCATGACGCGTCTACGGCCACAGTCGACGCGAAAGCAGCAAAGACGAGCACTTGGGCGTCCTTGTGAGTCGTGCCGGCCATGGTGCGGGCGTTAGCTCCCTTTCTTATCGCGCGATTAGGTCCCTTGTGACAATGCGGATCCACCCGAGCATCTTGGTGCGCATGCCTGCCTGGGACCATTCCATGCAACATGTTGTGACGATGCCGTTTGAACTGACTGAATGACTCAGAGAGTGGACGTTTCGCCCTTGAATGCTTCCTGTGGTGTAATACTTGCGCTGCTTTGGGCCATCTCTCGCACATCGTGGCTGCCACTTGGCACATGAGCTTAACGCATCCGGTTGCACCTAGGTCCCCAGCTACGGACCTCAAACTGCCAGCAACCATCAAGACGGCCACTAGAAGCACCCACGGCGTGCACACGACGACTATCGGATTTCCCCTGTTTGGCGCAGCTCGAGCGTTTGTGATAGCATCAAAGGTGCCCGGCCCCGACGACGGCATCGTCATTGCTCGGCTCGTGACATCGCCAGCTGCTCCAAACCTCCGAGCTCACCTCCGCAAGCTTGCCCACCTCTCCACCGTCTACTACGCCGACTCCACGCGCACTCCAGCACAGCGCCTCGCCTCGAAGCTGCCTATGCTCTCTCCCTAATCCCCAAGCCAGCACCCCTCCAGGCACGGCGCTGCCACCAACCCATACCCGCGTCATCTGCGGGTAACCAGACCCAGCGTTCGTCCTGGCAGACGAAATCGCCCCAAACCCTCCCTCCCCAGCCGCCTCCGACCACCCATCCACCCCGACGTCCCCCGCTTCTTCTTCCCCAGTCATCTCTGCCCCCTCCAACCAGCCCGCACCCGCCGCCCGAGCCTCCAACCACGCACCCGCTGCCGCTATCCTGTCATCCGACCAGACTACAGCCGGAAAGCGCAGGCACAGCTTCTCTGCGAGCGACGACGCCGAAGACGAGCCCCTCACCAGCGGCACCCGGGGCAGCTTATCCCGCCACATCTCGAAGCGCAGGCGCAGACAGGAAGGGAAGATGCGCCTTGATAACGACACCTCCAAATCCTCACAATCGCCCTCGCGCAACTTCGCAAACGGATCGTCACAGTCGTCGGGGCACAGGTCGCCCCTGGCCAAGGGCGCGAATGGAAGCACACACGGGAGGAACGAGAGCAATGGCTCCTATACGAATGGAGGGCCGGTAGCGAACGGGGGATCAGTGCCTGCAACTTTCTTTGGCCATGACAGGGAAGAAGTGACGCGGATACTGATACAGAGTCTGACCGACTTGGGCTACCACAGTGCTGCGGGCGCACTATGCAAGGAGAGCGGCTTCCAGCTCGAAGGGCCCACAGTTGCGGCATTCCGAACTTCGGTACTGAACGGTGATTGGGAGGAAGCCGAAGAGCTGCTGTTTGGGTCAAATACATACCACACCGGTGGTGGTGTCGGTCTAGACGCTCCCTACGGAAGGCCCTGGGGAAAGTCGACATCGCAGCCCAGCTCGCAGCGTTCTACAGGCTTGACTCTAGCCGAGGGCGCAAACCGCGAGGTGATGCTATTTTGTCTGAAGCAGCAAAAGTACCTCGAGTTGCTTGAACGAAGAGATCTGAGCAAGGCACTTGCGGTGCTTCGGCAAGAGTTGACGCCGCTTCATCGCGATGTGGGAAGGTTACACGCTCTTTCGGCGTAAGTATCATCCTGCCATCAGACGTTATCCAGCTAACGCTTCGTAGGCTTATGATGTGCCAATCTGCCGAAGACCTCAGAAATCAAGCTCAATGGGACGGCGCTCGCGGTGACTCACGGATGCATCTGCTTTCTGATCTTTCCAGTAAGCACCAAGTCCCAGACTATGGCGATTCATACTGACATCCTGTAGAATCAATTTCGCCGAGCATTATGATCCCGGAACACAGGTTAGCAGTACTGCTAGATGAAGTAAAAGATAGCTGGATCGCAAATTGCCTATACCACAACACCGCCGCGTCACCGTCTCTCTATCTCGACCACAACTGCGAAAGGGATGACTTCCCAACAAAGGCTGTTCTTGATTTGAAACACCACACGGGTGAGGTTTGGTACTTGCAGTACTCAAACGACGGCACAAAACTTGCATCTGCAGGCGAGGACCAGACAATCATTATCTACGAAACCAACACGTACAAGGTGTTACATCGACTCGCAGAACACAGGAAATCTGGCGTCGCTCATCTTGCTTGGAGTCCTGATGACACAAAGATAATAACATGTTGCTCGCAACCAGAGAACTCGGCACGGATATGGGACGTCAAGGTAAGGCGGCAAGATTGCTCTGATAGCTCCGACTAAAACTAGCAGACCGGTGTATGCATACAATGTATCAGCGACTTCACCTACCCATGTACCACGGCGGCTTGGGATCCGTCTGGTACACGGATTATTCTTGGATCACAGGACGACAACATGGGCTGTAGTGTTTGGGACCTCGACGGGAACCTTAAGCACAACTTCGCCGATGATGGGAAGCTCCGTGTAAACGGCCTCGCATTGTCATCCGATGGCCAGCGATTAGTCGTCATTACAGAGAGCGCGATCGTCGTGTTTGATTATGCCACTTATGAGAGGATTGCCGAGTTCCAGCTTGATGGTACAAAGTTGACGAGTGTTACGATCAGCCAGGATTCACGGCATATGCTCGTTAGCATAAGCCCGGATCAGATCAAGCTCATGGAAATCGACACTGGGGATGTAATACAACGCTTCGAGGCACATGCTCAAAAGCAGTTCATGATTCGATCAGCGTTTGGCGGCGCAGATGAGAACTTTGTAGTCAGCGGCAGCGAGGGTATGTTTGTCTTGTTCCTTCATGCAGGATCATTTGCTAATGCACGCTTTCAGATTCACGAATATACATATGGCGCTCCAATGGCCTCCTTATCGAAGCTCTCGACGCACACTCCAACGGCTGCGCCAATAGCGTAGCGTGGCACCCCAAGGATCCTACTACATTCGCTTCTGCTGGCGATGACAAACGAATCAGGATCTGGAAACCAGCTTCCGCGTCACCAATGCCATCGAGTAGTAGTAACGGTTATGCAAGGTAGAATGGGCCGCTCACTTGGTGTAATTTGCATGTAAGGGTTTACGTGTGATGTCCTGTACGATGGCTTGTTTTGTGTTCTGTTGCATCAACTTTGGCGTCAGAGGCCCATCTGAGGACTCACAGCATGGCTTATTCTTGGGTATGTGGGCTCTAGTTAGCATTCATCGGGTAGCCTGTACTCCCCATTCGGTATGATGTACGTTATTTATTAGATGCTATCTTTATGGGATCGATCATCTGTTCTCGACTGAACAAATTGCTATAGATGCCAACTTACCTGCAGTTACCCAACTTCTCACCTCCTCCGTTACGTCCCGATCTCCCTTGAAACAACTACAGCCTCTCTTTCTTTACAATATTCCGCCCACTTCATCCCTATCAGCGCGGCATCCACCGTGTCATCCGATTTACGCTCCCATATCCAAGACACCCCGTTCCCACCATATCGTCTCGCAACCCTCTTTTCACCCACCCATAACTCCTCCAGTGCTTCCACCTCACCAAATGCTAACCTCGCAACATTATTTTCGGCTGCGACTCTCCTCCTCTCGTTCCCTTTCCACAACGCCTGTCTTGCTTGTTCTGTCTTGCATTCCATAACCGCTCGTTTCCACACCGCTCGATACCCCATATCAAGATATTCGATCTTGCTGACTTGTAGCGTCTTGAGTTGTTTCAAGCCCTGGCCCAGAGCACGCATGATAGACGCGACATCGGATCGATAGCAGTACGACTCGCTGCGCAAGACAAGGTGACGGATTTTCGGAACCGTCGTCGTGAGAAAGGTAATTTCGGCCAGAGACCATGCAGCACTTCCGTCAAAACTTCGCAGCCCCACTGCGTACTGGAAATATGGATCGCCCTCTTCCTTTCTCAAACTATACCGCGGAATCATCTCGAACAAATCCTTCAGCTCAGTATACTTCTCCATTGCACAATCCTCGCCATCGCCCTTCCCCTTCACCACCAACGTCTGCAGATTGGGACAATGCTGCACTAGAAACGCGGCACTGCTATTCACAACCAACGTCTCCACTCCCCTCAACTCAAATCCAGGAAACCGGGATGAAAGTGAAGATTCGGTAAACGCAGCAGAGAAGACATCCAGACTCCGGCTCATCATCCTCACTTCCAATCGCGTTAGCCGCGGTAACGAGTGCATAAAGGCAAACAGATCGAGAGCGTCACTACTGGATACGTAGGCGCCGGAGCACCACCACCATAGACTGCCAGACATGTCGATTTTGAGCGCGCGAGCTTGGTGCAAATGTGGTGTTAAGACGTCTGTGTCTAGAGATTTGAGCGGCGCGGTGATGCGTAGGGTTTTAAATAGTTGCGGAACGAGGAGGGCGTGGAGACGGCGATTTGCTAGGGAGAGTTGTTTCCGTGGAGTCTCGCCGTGTTGCTGGTGATGGTGGTCCAGGAAGTCGCATATGAGTAGTAGGACGTCATCGCATAGGTCGGGGAGAGTGAATGGCTTGTGTAGTGATGGGAGGAGTGTTGGGTCAATGAAGCTATCGACTCGTGTCTCTCTTGTTTTGGGTGTCATCGTGTTGTTCTGGTCTCAAGTTTGAAGAAGGTCGTGGTCTTGATGTCTACTTCATGATGTTTGATACCGTCAACGAGAGCGGAGATGGAAGTGAGCTAAGCAGCTACCCCACGTTTTGATGCACACTTGTTACTTAAAGAGGCTAGTTGAGTTGAAGCTCTTAGATTGTCCAATCCAAAAGAGGTAGCCACGATAGGCCGTCAAAGGCTGCAAGTAGGCTTGAATTGTTCTATACTATTGCATCGAGCTATTTACTTGTTGTCGTTAGTCATTATCATAAAACGTTATTCATCATTGCGTCTTTCGGAGCAAGAGTCCTACGCAAAGCACAAGCATCCGCCACTCCGCTGTTCGTACACTTTCAGCTTCTCTCTGGGTATCGCGATAGGTAACAAACAATTTCAAAGGGAGTATTCAACGCTTTGGAGATGCGAACCGATCCGACTCTAAATGACGCGCACTGTTGCTTTACCTTTCCCGAGGGTTTGGGACGATGATATCAGCATGCTTCTGAGACGGTCCTCGGCTTTTGTCAGCTCCTGCCGACTGTTCTGGTCGAGATCTGACGGCCGGGGCCATGGTAGCCACGCCTTTATAGAGTCAAGGGTACCAGAACGTGCTCGTGATGCCGGAAGACTGCGCATAGACGCTCCGCGTTGGTGTGAGGGGGTTCTGCGTGGTGTTGCAGTCTGAGGCCGTCCGTTGGATGATCCATTGGCGTCCTTGCCAACATCCTGCATTGCCGACGAAGTATCGAGTGATAGTTGTTTCGAAGCTGTAGGCGCGGCAATGGTGATTGCCGGGTGTGAAGACGAGGTGGATGCGTGGACTGCCCAGGCGGGCGCCGAGTTCTGGACTTCGACCTGTTTCGAGCTGCCAGCCTCTTGGTCTCGGAAAGTATCGCCATCTATGGCTTTCCTCTTACCACTCCCACCACTGATGACGCTCTTCAAGCTCCCGTATGCTGATTGACTACGCTTCTTACTGCTCTCGGCCCTACCCTCTTGCGCCAGCCGCTCGCTGGAGCTGCTCGCTTCAGGCACTGCCATGAGTGTGTTGTCTGCGGCAGTCCATCCTTGACTGATCCTATTCAAACGACCTCGGCTGGCCAATGCTCCTGTACTTGCAGCCCACCCCGACCCCCCGCTTGTTATTTCGCCTTGCGGGGGTAGGTGAGAGTCGTACTCGTCGGCTAGACTCATTCTGCTTCGGGCGCAGATCTCGGCAATGGCATCGATGGCGTCTCTGATCTCAGGGTCGACCGCGCGAAGGATGGCCGAAAAAGAGAAGTCGTCAGCGGAGGGTAGCTGCTCGCTCCTGCCAGCCAGACCAGCTGACAGGGCCGACGCATGTGTCTGCCCATTCATGGCGAAGGAGCGTGGCGTGTTGAAGCCGGAGCCAGAGCGTGATGCGTGCCGCGAGCCTGAATATGTGCGTACTACCACTGGCTGGCTGGTGACGGTGGTCCGGCTGGATGTAGACTTTGCAGACTTGCTCTTGGAGGGCGAGGAATGGAAGGCGGGGGCGTTCAGGGCGCGCAGTGCAGCAGACTGGGTCGGCGGCAGTGTGTTGGTCAAGGTGGTAGTCGCACTGGGCACCGAGCCTGAGCTCGCCGTCAAGTCAGACAGGCCCTCGGGAGCATCTAGTGGTTGCGTGTGGGCGAGGACGGGCTCGTCGGACAGTATAGGCTGGGCACTAAGGGTGGACGTGGTGTTGTTCCCCAAGAGGGTCGAGAAGACGCCCAATGGTACCGACTGTCTGGTGGTCGTTGCAGGCGTTGCAGGTGTCAGTGGGTGTGGGATTGCACTCGACTCGGCGGTACCTGAGCCATGTTGCTCACAGTCGGTCGGAGGGGCAGCGCTGTGCGGGAGCCGTGGCGCCTGGAAGGGAACGCGCGGATCATTAGACATGCCGGCCATTGTTGTGGGTTCTGGTTCCGTAGCTGCAGGTCAATGCATTGCCGCTATGCGACGCCGTCTGAGTTGTTGGGTGAGCTGCCGTGATCGAGGAGATGCGCTGGCGCCAAGCTTGGCGGGTTATTTTTTCCCACCCGCCTTCCATCATTGGGCCATTGCCGCTTCACCCTACACATATTCCGACATATTGAACGAGTTGCATGCCACTTGGGATCCGACGCCCAATTGTAGCCGTGCAAGACTTGGGATATTCTTGTTGCCCCTAAGAGGCGTCTCACTGGCTTGACACCCTAAAATCTCTCCGACGAAAACCCAAATATCCCTGCCGCTCGACATCTGTCTGTCTTGCACGACTAGATGGTAACACATGTGGACCCTGCGTATGGAAGCGCATCTGCCTCTCGGCGGTACTCCAGATCTCAAAAGAGCATCCCGTCGTCTGGCTTTTCGCCTTCCATCCGCTGCACGCGCACCAGTTCCGTTGTTTGCCCGAGCCTGACGCTCAACCAAGACACCAATCCACCTGGCATTTCGTCAAGTATCTGTATTTCAGCCTTGACGTTGAGCATCAGCATCTTCTGTAGCTCCTGCCTCCAGCCCTTCTCGGGACCCTCCTCGGCGCACAGGTTCCACTCCAGCATTCGCGCTGCTTTGTTGCGGTCGCGCGCCGTCAGTCTCATCAGGCCTTGGAGTTGAGGTTTCGTGCTCGTCTCTGTGTGCACTTCGCCTAGCGGAGTCCCGCTCATGTGGTGACTCTTTACACCGAGCCAGCGGATGTTAGGCAAGCCTGGTGTGGCTGTATCCGTGGATGTAACGTCTTCGTGCGCAAGACGATAAGACCCATATTTGTACGTCGATAGTATGGCGATACCGTCAGGATCAAGGTCCATCAGAGCGTACATGGGGATCTGAGGGGCCTTAGCAGCTAATTGACTCAGAAATTTCCGTGAAGCGAGGTCTGGATATCCTTTCGCCTGTCTTGGCTATTAGGTGACATTGGCAACAGACACAGTCAGGCTTACAGTCAGTATTGTTCCGCTCGAGCCCAACGTGTGCCACCGTGGTGAACTCATCAATGACCTAAAGGTCGCCTAGGTATACATTAGCGGTAACATAAGTGATCCCAAAGCATCGACCATACCTCCTTTTCGATAATGAGAACCCATTGCACGTCTGTCAAGTCGAGATTATCGTTATCGTTGACACTGGGAACGAGTATCCCCTGCTGACGTGTTAGGAAGGTATCACTGAGCCAGCACGCTCGTCGAACCTCTTTCTCGCTCATGCCATTGATATGATGACCATCGTTTCGAGTCAACCTAAAGCCGCCCGCCAGCAGGCCTTTCGCGGCGGCAGTCTGAAATTGGCTATCAGCTGTGCTTCCAGAGAGACGACCGAGACAAGCGCACCACGTTCAATTGCAATCTAGTGATGCCGAAGGTACAAGCCAAGTCATCCACGTATCGGTCGACTATCGACTGCTTGATGAACAAGTCTGGATGTCGATAATACATGTCTCTACCTCAAGTCAGCTTTTTGTTATCATCATACAAAGGCAAAGTTGACCTCTTCGTCATGACAGTACCATCGACGAGACCGGCATGGACAAGCTCGAGTATACGAACTAGTACAGCTACACGACCATTAACGTACTCAACATGCACAAACGATCGGGTTCACACACTGAAGTTCCATGCCTCTTGCGCACTTGTTCCTGGAAAATTGATATCGCGTTCCTTCGGTTCGGGAGTCTGTTCTTGGCCGTCGGCTGTGGCAGATCGTCTGCGAGACAGAGCCGCACGGGACTTCAGCGTGATAGTTAGCGCTTCATGATCCTCTAGCTGAGCATCCACAATCAACTCTATCATCGCTTCGATACGAGCGATCACCCAAACTCTGCACAAGGTTAGTCATAACCCGCTCAGAGTGAGAGCGCCTGAAGAACCTGTCGCGTATGGGTCCTAGAGCGTGCTCCTGATGGTGATACCGAGGTGCTTCCTGAACAGACAGCGCTGTGCCATTGGTTGAGGTTGAGGATGAGCTGTTACACACATCCCACGGTATATTTTCCCGTTGGGAAGTTGCAAACAGGAACTCGTCTTCTGAGTCCTCCTCTTCCGTATCACTAGGAGCGGCCTGCATGTCATGTTCACCGAACAACATGTCATCGAAATCGCTTGTATCCATGGCGAAGTGCAGAGTGGCGAATGATGGTATGGAACCTCGCGGATACTGGGTTAGCTGCTAGCAGGTATGTGGCCGGCTACTGTGAGTTCGATATAGCAAGAGGTCTGCACAGGGCGCTGCAGATAAGAAGCCAGCCATAGAAAGCGTGGTCGGGGCGTGAGTGCTGCGAGACGGTAGGCACGACACGTGCAGGATACACCAGCAAAGGCAGTTCTATTCGCGCGTTCATCACTAAGCCAATAACCCCAAGAATCGCTTTAAAACTGTTTGGTTCACGTCTTGCACGAGTACAATAGTGGTGCTCGACGTGTTGATGTTCGCGTTCGTTTCGCCGTAACGCTAAAAGGAAATCAGAGCATGAAATCGCTAAAGTACGCGCCATTCGAGCAATTGCACCCCAGTCGCACTTTCCCGCACTAGGCCCACATCAGCCCACTAGTCGTTCGCGGTTTCCACGCGCTGCGCGTCGCGCCTTCGACCTTCGCGTCTCCTCCCGCATCAACGTCCGCTACCGCAACCACGCTGCTTGTTCAACCACAACGATCTTCTCTGAATTGAGCATCGGCCCCCTCACTATCGATTCGTGATAGACCTGCAAAGTCCATCGGCTGCACTTTCAGCAACCGCCGTACACCATGGAGGACCCCACACCCATTGCGCCGCTGCCCCAGAAGCGTCCACACACCGACGATGACGATGTCGAGCCTGCCGTCTCAACTCCGTCAAAACAGATTCGATCAGAAGCTTCTACGCCCCTTTCAATCCTCTCGGTTCAAACCCCGTCACCCCTGAAGAGCAGCGCTCCGAGTTCAACCGCCCCAAACAGCAGCAATGTCTCTGCTCCAACCCCCTCACAACCAGCCAAAAGGCGCAAGTTGACTTCACAAGAGAAGGAAGCCCAGCGTCTAGAAAAGGAAGCCAAGGCCAAGGCGCGAGAAGAGAAGAAGGCGCAGAAGGAGGCCGAGGAGAAGGTCAAGACAGAACAAAAGGCACAGAGAGAGGAGGAGAAGCGCAAAAAGAATGAAGAACGAGATGAGAAGAAACGTCTTAAGGAAGAGGAACAGCAACGGGCAGAGGAGGAGAAGGCAAAGAAGGCACGGGTAAGCCGACCGCCGTCCTTGTAGTATGACCTAACAGTACTAACCTTTTGATAGTCCCAAATGAAGCTCAACGCTTTCTTCGTAAAGCCAAAGGCGGGATCAGGCCCAGGACAGGCCTTGGTAGCTTCATCCCAGAACCCTACTGCCTCGTCCACATCTTTATCTAGCACATCCGGAGTCAAAACTAATTTGGCCCCTCCATCCCCACAGAAGAACATCGTCAAGAACGCTCAGTCAGACTACGAGCGATACTTTCTACCGTTTAACCTCCCTCCACATACGATCCTCGCTCCCATAAATCCCCTGCTCGACGATCCAGAGCGGCTGGAGGCTGCGCGAACACGGCTAGAGAACCTCATCACGCACAACGGTACCGGTACCGAGATGATCACACGAGAGACCTTGGTATCTTCTTTCCCGCGACGGAGTCGACCAGCGCATCGGACTGCGACCATCGCAGAAGTTATCGAACGTGTGAATGGCTCGTCGGATCGCCCCATCGATTTGACTGTCCACAGAAGCCCGTTGGAGATGCTTAGAGAGATCCCAATGAAGTACATACACTTCTGCAAGGATGTACGTCCCCCGTACTATGGCACCTACACCAGGCCCTATACCGACGCGGAAGCTTCTCGGCTCGCACGAAACCCCATTGCCAGAGTCCGACAGGACACCGATTATGACTACGACTCTGAAGCAGAATGGGATGAACCCGAGGAAGGAGAAGACCTTGACTCTGACGGCGAAGACGACAACGAAGAAGATGCAGAAGACGACTTGGACGGTTTCCTCGACGATGAAGAAGACCCACAACTCAAACGGCGACTCATTAGTGGTGATTTAGTTCCTGTCAGCACCGGCTTGTGCTGGGAGGATGCCGATAGGGTTTCCAGGTTGAACGATGGCTCAGATGCTATATGCACCGACTTCAAGGGGTTCTCAATGGGGTTTCTGTTGGATCCGCAGATGACTTCAATCGATCCGTTTTCTACGGCATACTGGGAACCGGATCCTGCGACCAATGCAAGTTCCGCCGCTGCTGCGAAGAAAGACACTAAGAGCGCCATGAACCCTCCGCGAGTACCTCTGGTCCAACGCTCTATGAATGGTCTGCTCAACACATTGAACGGCCCACAGAAGTCAACAGGAGGAACTCCAACTAAGCCTGCAAAAGCTAAGCGATTGGTACCCACTGAGCAACTTGAAGCTTTCAAGGCCGAAATTGAGGGCAAAGATCTGACCAAGATTGGCATGATTGAGGCATTGAAAAAGGTATTTCCAAAACTACCTAAGGACGCCATCAGCAACACCTTGAGCGTAGTTGCCGCAAGGGTAGGACCTACCGAGAAAGAGAAGCGATGGGTGCTTGTCAACACCTGAAAGTCTCAATGCTGAACGTTGCGTTCAGCTGGACGTTTCCCTTTTTGCTCTTAATGTACATCAACTTTTCATACATGTCGGTAAAGCCCGACGCCAACTACCTGTGGAATATGTGGGATAGTCTTTCAGCATAGCGGGTGAAGGAGTACGGGGTTAAGGCCGGGGTTCAAGGTGTTCCAAAGTCATCATCAAGCGATATTTTAGCTTTCGAAGTCAGTCCACGTTCACACGCTGTATAGGAGGTGGAGAATCGAGCTTATTCCAGGAGCTATAGGAAGTCGTCAAATTCACGCAATGAAGAACGCGTCCACGCTGCAGTGGATCTTATGTACTACATGGCTTGTACCAAGCAGTGCAGCGATTGAGACGAATGCGTGAAGTCACTGCGTATTCCATATGGCGTAGAAGTGCAAGCGCTTTGTTACACCCCTTCGTACCCAGCAAGGGAGCCCTGACACACACTACGCAGCCGTCAAAGAGTTATGCTATCCCGCGAGCATGTGTTGCAGAGCAATCAGGCTTTCTGTTCCTTCTGGTTCTAAAAACGAGTCGGAATCAATGCAGTCCCCCAAGTATACCTTATGCTGGCACGCATCCACTTTGTACACAAACTTTAGCCCGTGAGCGACAACGAGAACGGCGTGCGGGGTTGCGGGATTAAGATTGTACGGCTATTTCCGAGGGTATCTCTCTAAACGCATCAAAATCTCACCGAGCGGGTACGCAATCTACCTGCCTCTGAGATTGCAGACTGTGGTGAGCGGAGGGTTAAGAATAGCGACTGGTGTCAGATCCACACCTGCAGTCGGGTCCGTGCAGCGGGCGCTTGGGAATGTCGCGAGACAACCCTACCCAATCAGCCTGGTCTCGTAAACGCCCGCTATCTTGGTGCAACTGCCCACAATAACGATCCAATCATCAGTGTCTCTGCGACGGCAAAGCTTACCATCGGAGAGGGATCATCTTTCTTCCTTGCGCATGTTTCTATTCAAAGCGCCCATGGGGGCACCTCCCCAGGTCGTGGTACTTCCACAACGGCATCAGCAGGCGCTCTCGGCAGCGGTTCAGTCCCATGCGGCTCTAGATGGCGCCCAGGGATGCACTCATGCGCGTCCAGCAGAAGCAGTGTGGATATTCCCGCATGCAAGAATAGCTGGGCCCTTGCCTAACTGGCTGACTGTCCGCATGCTCATCTTAGTGTATCAAGGTACAGATGATGGAGGCCTACAAAGACATCCTACAGCCTCTGGCACCTCCGCAACTCGAGTTTGAGACGTTTCGTCATCGTCGTCGTTCACCTTGCCTGTTGGTGTTGTAAGCGTTGTCCAACACCTTGTTACCTGCTTCCAGCTTGCTGGACTCAAGCGTCTCTCATCTTCCATCATGGCGTCTTTCGTTCTGTGCCTTTCCGCAACTTTGCTGTTCACTCAGTCTGCAATTGCTTCAAACTGCACCAAGAAACCGATATACGTCGACATCCACAAGCGGGCCGTACACGACTCATCAGAATTTCAATATGGATCCTTCATCGGACTAGGAACGCCAGCACAGAACCAGAGTCTTTGGCCATCACTACAACAGAACCACATCTCGTTCGCGTCGAGTAACTACTGCAAGAACACAACTCTTGACAAATGTGCCACGAGTACAGGGGGCTTCTACAACGACCACGACTCCACTAGGTATGCTTGACTGTCGAGGGGATACTTTAGTTTGTTAGCTGACGTGTAAAATAGTTTTGTGCAAGACGACAACTTTCAGACCTTGGACGATGACCAAGAGGGTTTCACGGGATTTTTCGGTCGAGAGACCTTACGACTGTACACACATTACTTCGAGACGGACGGTGCATCACAAACATTGGTAGAGAACAGCACGATCGAAGTCGCAGAATCGGGGTCAATCACACCTGGAAGAGTTGGCATGGGGTTGTCTTCCACTCTCCTTCGGGACCTGGCTGCACAAGACATCATTGCTGGGAAAACATACTCGCTCTACATCGGACAGGGATTCAAGCGTGCCGGAGGCGCAGTTAACGGTAGCAATGTCTTTGGGGGATACGACTCAGGTCGCTTCACGGGAGACACACACAAATACGCCATGAAGATCGACAATCCGAACCCGATGAGCGTCCGCATCAAGGACATCGTCATCACTAACTCTGAAGATAACGCAAACGTATCACTGTTCGATAACACGGTTTTCACCGACATGAAAACACGGGCAGAGGACTTCGAGGCCCAGATTACGACCGAACAGTTCCCGTTCTCCCTACCGTATCAGATCACCCAAAACTTCATCAAACGACTGGGTGCCGAAAAGGATAACACATGGGGCGATAAGTCTCTGAAGTTGAAGAACGCTTTCAACGGCACGTTCTCAATAGTGCTAGAAGATGGTTTTACAGTCACGCTACCCTCTGAAGTCCTCATGAACGCTTCCAACATCACGCCCATCCAAGACCGCGAAGAGTCGGCTGACACACCATTCTATTTGGGAACCGCTTTCCTGGGCCAAGTCTACTTGATGGCGGATTACGAGACCAATAACTTCTTCCTCGCTGAAGCCATTCAAAAGAACAACATGGTCATGCCTGTTACCTTTTGCCCGAAATCCACGCCCGCAGCCTACGAACGCCCCAAGCAGTCCGCCTGGGAAAGCCAAGGTCTCATCGGCGCGGTAATTGGTGGTGTAATAGGCGGTATTGGCATCATCTGCGCAAGTTACTGTATCTGGATCACTTGGATGCGCAAGAAGGATGAGCGCAACTTGAAGAGGGAGTTGAAAAGAAATTCGCAGAGGAAAATGGAGCAGATGGACATTGAGGAGGCACAGCCCAAGTTTGACCCGCCACCACGGACAGTAAACGCGGCGAAAGCTATGTTTTGGAGGAAGAACAAGCCGGGTTTGACGTTTTGAGCGGGTCGCGAGAGTTTTCTTCTTCTTGGAGGTGTCCGTCTTCATACCCTGGGCTAGCAGTGTGCGGCTCGTTTGATTTGTATAGCGTCCGGCAATCTTCACACTATTTCGTGTTCACATCCGTATGAAAATTGCTATGATCCGTGACGTTTGACAATAAGTCCATTGCCCGGAGGGTTAGGTTCGCTATGCCGTTAATCACCTGAGTTTTTCTCGAAATCATCTGCTTGAAGCGCAAATTGGGAGGGTCACCATGCTCACACAATCCTTCATCTATTTACGTCAAAACGGACGATTCGCACTGGGTGTGGTATCAAGTGACCATAACCCGAGAGACAGTATGTGATGGCGAAGACGTATTTTGATTAAAAAATCGCGATGTTCGCCATGTCAGGTTCTTGTTTACAATATGGTACAAAGTCTGGCAGTGGTTTTGTACAGAATCGAATTGGGTCCAGGTCATGATTCGGGCGAGAAGCTAAAGCCAAGCGGTGCGAGTATCTTTTCTTGCACAACCTTGTTGGCCACTTCGCCGCCACGCTCGAGAGCGACCGCTCCGACGATGGCGTATAGAGAAGTCATGAGGACGGTTTCAAAACCAGAGCCTTGGAGGTTGTCCGCCTGTAATTCGTCAGCCTGCGGACTAGGGTGTTGTAGAGGTTCGAGCATACCCTCTTGGGTGTCCACCGTGTGACCTTGTCCAGACGATATCGCTCTGCTATCGGTGCTAGCCGTGTCTTGCTCAAGACCAGACTCTCGGCCTCGTCGGTCAAGCCTTGCAGCCCATTCAAGGCGGGGTGTAGGTATGGTTTGCGTCCAAACTCGTCGCTGATTGGTACACCAGTGGGATCTCTTGGCCATTGATTCTCCTGCGGCGAGTTTATGAGCGCCTGTGTTGTTTGTAGTTCGACTATCCTCCGTCCTGCCCTTTGTATTAGCCTCCCGTCTGTCCGCCTTTGCAATGTGCACACATACCCAAGTATGCTAGTCGGTCATTGAACCCTCTCCTTCCGTGGTCGAAGCTCTTGTGTGTGACGGCTAACCACTTTACGTCTTCTCCCAGTATTTTGTCTCCTCCGGGGCCCAACATGCGTATATACGCATCGTCCAGCTTTTTCGGATCCTCATTCACCTGGTAAACGCCCCCTCTAGCTTTCGGCCGTATCCTATGAGGCGCCATCATCCGCGGGGGTGTCTGTTTCCATCGCGGCCTGTCAACGGCTGGTGTAACTTCTGCGTCATATTCCGTGGACCTCGATGGGGTGGTGCTCGAAAATGCGCATGCGGAGGACCGCACGAAGGACGTTCTGGATATTTGCGCGGGCCGGAGTGATGATGAAGCGGTCGACACGAGAGATCGGAGCGGGCGTTTGGAAGTCATTGTGGCACTTCCAAGTGGTGAGCGAGGTGTGAGAAGCTTAATTGGCGGCGGGCGGGCGTGATGCTGCTGGCGGAGGTCAGTTCGGATCATCGAAAAGTTGCGGCACGCGGATCGCGCCTTACCGCAACAACGCTAGCACCAGTCGCGCCTGCCGCTCCCCATCGTGCGCCCCCCGATACGCGACGCTTCCCCTTGCTGCGCTTCTCTTGGGTCATCATGACGAGCGCTGGGGTTTCCAGGCCGCTGAAAGAGTTACTCGCCGAACAACTGCCCAAAGACGTGCCCATCACCTTCTACCACTACTCAACGCCGCCCTCCAAGTCCTCCGCCCTCTTCTCCGCGCCGCCCCATGGCAAGTCCGAACGAACATACTGCGAATCGCAGACCTTGGCAGCGTCGATAGTCCCAAAAGATGCAGCAGCCTCGGAACTGCCCGAGGAGCTTCTTATATTGGCAATTGAAGTCTTGATCTACTCCACGCGAAACCTTACGACCATCTTCGTCTCCAAAGCCGACTCGACAGGCTATATATCCGAACTACAACTACCGCGAGCCCAGTCTGCGTCACCTCTGAAAGCCATTTGTGGCACCTTTGTATCCTGGCTAGCACGAGAACGACAGAGGGAAGGGAAGAAGCTGGTAGTGTCTCTCTTCGCCAGGGCACAGGATCAATACCTGTTTCCGGCAAGCATCGAGAATAAGAACAAGCATGTGCTAGATGACAGGGGCTTGGTGAAATGGTGGTGCAGAGTGCTCGATCCCATCATATGGGAGTACAAGGCTGAAGGAGAGCGGAAGCCCTTCGCCGAACGGCTGGTTGATGATGACGGCTCGAAGGCGGACAGCACGTTAGTCCAATCCGAGTCCACAGCCAAAGGCTACCTGGTGATACCGGGCTTCGAGCCATACGACACGCTGCGATACATTCCTCCACCCCCCGTCCCGAACACCCCTCGACGCTGGGTAACCACACACCCGCTCCTACAGATCGCTCCCTACCCTGCCGCTCCACCGCGCTGCCTCGTACCACACTTTCCAGACGACCCAAAAGCCAGATTCCTTGACGAACTGGACGAAGAACTTCCTGATCGGGGTACCGATGCCATGGTAGTAGATGGAGGCACACCCTCGAGAAGCAATGGGCACTGGAAGAGCGTTAAGACACTTGACCAGTTCTGGGAATTCATGGCCTTCAGGCAAGAGTGCTCTTCAGGGCGTATAGTAGGTTTCATCTGGGTCGTCATAACACCACCCAAGCCTTCGATACCCGAAGAAGACGAGGACATGCCTTCGCAGCAATCAGCGTCGCAGTCGTTCTCACAGCTTGACTCGCAAGAGAACATGCCCAGTCCAAAACGGAAGAAGGCGAGTCGACGCAGACAAGAGGCTAAAACTAGGTACGGACCAATTCCCCTGGTCCTGCCAAAGATCAAGAACAGCTCTTCAAATTTATCAACGTCGTCCAACTTCTCTTCAAGCTCCGCCAAGAACCTTCCTGAGAACAGTCCATACTGGAGATGGCCCGCTTCCTCACGCGGCACCATCTGCTTTTCGCTCAAGAACTACGACCGCGCACACGAGGTCCTTTTGCAACAGACGTTCGCAAACCGAAAGGCAGCAGCACGAAGTACGAGGAAGTGGAAAGAGGAAATTGCTGTTCTCGGGGGTATGGACGAATGGAGCTTCACAGTCGAGGGGATAAAGGAGTATGTCGCTCCAGTAAAACCTTCGGATGCAACAAACGGCGTGACACCTACCATGGTCATGGGTGTGCGAAAGAAGAGGAAACCCGATATCCCATCAGAAGCGGCGGTTGGCGCAGAAAAGCCTGCAGAGTCCGCGCAAATACTAGGAGAAGGCACAGTCAGGAAGAAGGCAAAGATAGATCCCACACCCATTACCAATGCAAGCGCTGCAAATGGGGTGAACACTTTGACAGCAGGCCTAGTGCGCAAGAAGCCGAAAACTTGAGAAAGGCTGAGCTCAATCGGTACATGGCATTTCACCTGATTTCAAGAAGGCTTTTTCACAACGAAGTTTTGGGGCTGATACACATCTTTACCTCACTCACATGGAAGTGTTTTAATATATTAATATGTCCCTCCGGAATTTATCTCAAGCACATGCTATGTAATGTTCAGTGTCAAAAAAGTCTGCGGAGAGTGTAAAGTCTTGGGCGATCAAATCTTCCGTCATCAGGTGGTCAACTAGACAAGTGAACCAGTCCATAATCTAAAGTGGGTAATCGATTTGCAGATGGCCATCTATGGAAATCGATGTCGGGTTAACTGCTTTGTCGGTGTGCACGAAGTCTGATCGCAACAAACGATCGCGATCCATGGATGTCCCTGGCGGTGAAGTCGGACCGTTCGGATCAGCAAACAATTGTAGGACAGGAAGCTGCTCCGATTTCAACAGCTACATTACGCCTGTTCCTTTTCCCATCTTTGTGGAAGTGCATCTGTACAATACCCCTGAACATCGTCAAGTGGTGCTGCGTCTTGGCGCTCGTCGCTTCCTGGTTCTCCGCAACCTCCGCGCCGCGAGATTCGCCAACACCCCACCCTCATTCCGACCCTCCCACACTGTCGCGCATGCTTCGCGCGCCCAATTTCGCGACGGGACAAGATGTCTCCATGTCGCGCACCATCATTGCGACCGGCTGCTTGATTTGGTGGGTGATAGTTTGGAGTGTCTGTGCCATCGGCTTCGTCCAACTATTCCGCTACTATTGGAGGAGACCCCAGCAGGCAACATGCGTAACGACATTAGATGAGAACGAAGTCCCTCAAGTCACCGTTATACGGCCGGTCAAAGGCCTTGATCCGCGATTGTACGAGTGTCTTGCAGCCACCCTCCGCCAGACGTATCCCAAAGACAAACTGAACACCGTGTTCTGCATTCCCGAGCGTTCCGATCCTGCCTTCCCGATCCTCGAGCACCTATGCAAAGATTTCCCGGATGCCGACGTACACATCTTAGTCGAGGAGGAGGATCCGCTGCTACTGAAGGATAACAACGCGCTGGGGCCCAATCCGAAGATTAGGAACATGAGTCGCGCCTACAGGGAGGCCAAGGGCGACATCGTATGGGTACTTGACTGCAACGTCTGGGTCGGCAAGGGCGTTTGCGGGCGATTGGTGGACCTGCTATGTGGATTTGGAAAGGACAAGCATGGCAACAAGAAGACAAAGTACAAGTTCGTTCACCAGACGCCTCTTACGGTAGATCTCGACTCGCAAGGTCTCTCGCTTCAGGACAGGAAGGAATTGCTCGGAGGCAAGCCTGGTGCTGTAGCTGAGTCGACTAGCATCGCGGCAAGCACGTCTTCCGATCCGCGCAATCACTCCAGCAGCACTATCAGGAAGCTGCTGCAGCGCGGCGGAGGACGTCTCGACGAAGCTTTTATGTCTTCTGCCCATGCCAAATTCTACCAAGCCATCAATACAGTCGCTGTGGCACCTTGCATCATGGGCAAGAGTACCATGTTCCGTCGCTCCCACCTCAACTACGTCACCTCATCGAATCCAGACCGCGCTCCCGGCATCGACTTCTTCTCCGACAACATCTGCGAGGATCATCTCATTGGCGATGTGTTATGGAAGCAACCTCAAGCTTTCGAGGAACGAGGCTACAAACCCGAGCCAGGGACGGCAAAAGAGGCTTGGGGCAAGCATGCAATGCTCTTCGGTGACTTTTGCTTTCAGCCAATCAGCCATACGTCTGTTATGGCCTACCTGCAACGTCGCATTCGATGGTTACGAGTACGGAAGTTCACGGTGACTTTGGCGACGTTTGTGGAGCCAGGTACAGAAAGTATCGTTTGTGGGCTGTATGGCGCCTATGCTCTAACGACACTACCCTTCTTCCACAGAATCGGCATCAGCCCAGCATGGACCTCTTTCTTCCTGATCTGGCTTCTACACCTATCCGCATGGTGCCTTGTAGACTATGTCCAGTATCTGCTGCTGCACTGCGCGAAGACCGTCGAGATTGATTCCGACACCCCTGACTTCATCCTGCCTCAACGATCAGCCTCTGCGTACCACCGTACCGAGGTTCTAGAACCTCTGCTTGGCAACAAAACACCAGGTGAACCTAGTCTACTTGATGGCGCGAGGAGAAACTTCATAGACTTCTTATTTGCGTGGCTCGGCCGCGAGATTTTCGCATTACCAGTCTGGGTCACCGCCTTCTGGGGAGGTGTTACAGTAGAGTGGCGAGGCAGGAAGTTCTGGGTGGGATTAGATATGAAGGTCCACGAGATCTTGCCACAAGAGAAGGAAGTCAAGAATGATCAACACAAGAAACGTTAGGATTGTAGGAAGAACCATAGTTGTTATTGCATAGCGTGCGGCCCTGTTAGCATTTCAGGCGTTCAGATAAGAATACGGACATTATCAGCCGAGATTTTCACTTTCACCTCACTGGTGAAGGAGGTCGATTTTGATTCAAAAGCTAACGAGTGTTTTTAATCTTGCCGAGCAGGATCCAGCTGAACGCTTCCCACCACAGCGTCGATTTCAGCCATCACATCTGGCGTAAGCTTGTCTATAATCTTCAAGGCTGCACAGTTGTCCACCACCTGCTCTGGCCTTGATGCGCCAGTGATCACCGCAGATACATGCGGGTTCTTCAAGCACCACGCAAGCGACAACTGCGACTGGCTGACACCCAGCTTGTCCGCGATCGGCTGCTCACAGTTAGCTAGATGCCATCAAGGAGGCATGGGGACTTGATTTACCTTCAATTTCCTCGCTGCGCCAATCATACCACTCCACTCATCATTTCCATATCGGTCGCGCATTCCACTCACAAAACCATCTTTTCCTTCAGCGAACCTCGATCCTGCTGGCGGCGCATCCGGGCTATCATTGTACTTTCCGCTAAGCAGGCCAAACTTCAGTGGCGAAAATGTAGTCAACCCAATCCCGAACCGCGCATACAGGCGCTGGAACTCACTCTCCACCTTCTTCCTCTCGAGCAGGTTATACTGCGGCTGCTCCACTACTGGTGCGATGAGACCCAGCTGCTTCGCTATTCCGCAAGCCTCGGCAATCTCGTCTGCAGACCATTCTGACGTGCCCCAGTACAAAGCCCAGCCCTTCTGCTCGATGACATGGTTGAATGCGCGAACTGTTTCTTCCATGGGTGTAAGGCGATCCGGACGGTGCGCATACACTATATCGACATACTCCAGATCCATGCGTTTGAGAGATGCGCGAAGACCCTCGATGATGTGTTTGCGCGAGAGACCGTGGTTGTTGACAAGCACTTCGCCGTTTGCGCCGCCCCAGTTGAGTTTTGTGGATATCACAATGTCGTTTCGGTTCCATGCGAATTTCTTGATGGCCTGGCCCATAATGATCTCGGACTGGCCTGCGGCGTAAGATTCAGCCGTGTCGAAGAATGTGATCCCATTATCGTAGGCCGTCTTCATGATGGAGAACGTAAGTTCTGATAATGGCGTTAGTGAAGTGGCTGAAGAGCGTACAGGCACAAAGTACCATTTTCTACGTGGCCTCCAAAACTATAATCTGATAAGTCTATGCCCAAGTATTTTCCAGAAAAGAAGATGAGTGAACGTACGTGAGCCATCCTCCTAGGCCCAGCGCAGAGACATGCAAGCCCGAATTACCTAGGCGGCGGTACTGCATGCCCGTTTTACGAGGTTCTTCCCAAGCCATCTTGCGTGTGTTTGAATAATTTGGTGATGGATTCACACGTTGATTTCTTATGGGTGCTGGAGCAAGGTGGTCCCTCAAGTACAAACCGCCATCTTCAGTCACAGGTCTTACCAAAGCCTTCAACAGTTCTGCTGACTACGCTCAAAGCGGCGAATCCTCCATGAAAGGCGATGCCGGCGATGTAGCCTGCCGCATCGGACGGAAAACCTCAGTTGGGCAGTTGCAGCGAGTTGGGCGCTGTGCTGCCGCGGCCTTGGTATCCAGGGTTTCGGAATGACTCGTAACATCGTGGAGATTCCCGAGGTCGTCATTGATCCCCGCAATCACGACATGCGATGGTTCCGGGCAGTTGTGGGGCGCGGTAGGGAAAGTGGATCAGGCTAGAGACGTCTTCGTTGAACAAGGCGGCTCTTTGCAGCCGACGCAGAGACGTTTACTCACCATACGCGCAATCGACGCGCGATCATTCGCAACGTCGTGTAGGAAAAACAGAAAAAGAATGATTCAAAGTGTATTGAAAGTATAACTGACATACTCTCCGATGATGTCTCTTTGGAAATGGTATATAATGGGTATCAGAACTTTGGAATTCGAACTTTGGAATGCAACCTCGGGTTAATCTCAACGACGGGTCGTAGATAGTTCGGTGCAACTAAAAGGCGAGGGGGCATTGGTTGGTAGTCGGATCGATTAAAGAGACCATGTGATGCTGCTATGCATGTTGACATTGACTGTCTGTGGATTCCACCGGCTATCGTTTCCCAACGAGATCAGAGTGTGAACCTGAAGTCTAACCGCTTGTTGCCATCCTTCTCTCGGGAGATGATGTCTGCTTGGTACAGAGCCTTCTCTTCTGAAGTCATCTGTTCCCACTGTATCTGTTTCCTTTTGTTGAGGCGGACCAAAGTCTGCCGTTGCACAAGGAAAGTAATGACACTCAGCGCGCATATAGCCACAAGAACAGAGTTTCCCTGCTTGTAGTACGGGCCATCGTACTTGCGGTAGATCTGTGAACTGATCAGAGATCCAATCTGCACAATGACATTGTACGTTGCGGCCGTAATCGCACGTTTCTTGACGTCAAAAGTGTTCTCGGATATCCAAGAAGAGACCAAGGGATGGAAATATGGATATCCGGAGATCAGTGTGATTAGGGAAAAGCGGCCCCATTCACGGCCACCATCGGGCAGTGTCAACAACGCAATAAGAAGCGGCATGATCCAGAATTCGCCGAATATACAATGGAAAGTACGTTCGTTGAAATAGTCGCTTGAGTATGCCAATGCTAGCATAGTAACAACCTGGAGGGCCGCAGACGGAATTGTCAACATGTTGCTGTTGAAGGTGCTGAAGCCGAGGCGTTTAAGCGTGAGAGTGAGGTATCCTTGCACCGGCGAGGCAGGGATGTAAGCGACAAGGCCGATGAAGTATAAACCCCACATGGAGGAATCTGACCAGGCCGCGCGGATGTCTTTGAACGTTGCTGGCTCTTTGAGAGCAGTGAGGCCTTTGGCTGGGTCGTCTCGGAGTATACGGTTGACCATGATGACTTCTTCCCGCTCAGTGTACCAACCTTGACGCCAAAGCACATTCTTGGTGGATGTCGGCGCGGTGGGCAAATACAAGTACGAGAGAATGGCGATGACGACCGTCAAAAGGCCTTCGAGGAGAAATAGCCAGAACCAACCTGGCTTTCCACCAACACCGCGCATCTCCAGAATCCCCGCCGCAAGTAAGGCCGAGATGACACGTGCGATGTTGAGTGTCGACCAGAAGGCTGCCAGGCGTAGAGAAAGCTCCTTGGACTTGTAAAAGTAGGTCGCGAACAAGATTACACCGGGGATGAAACCACCTTCGCAAAGTCCGATGGCTGCACGGCCCAGGTAAAACGAAGTTCGGTCGTGCATCCACGCCTGGCCCCAAGATGCAGTTCCCCAAGCAAGCATCATGGTCGGGAGGATATACTTGAAGCCATAGCGTTTGGTGAGACTGTATAAGAACACAGTTAGAGAAAGACTTCAACAAGAAAATCGGTGATACTCACAACTGCACTGGGAATTCAGCTGCTAGAAAGCATACCAACTGTATCGTTGTTCCATTGTTGTAGTCGTCAGAAGTCAACCCGAGGTCCTCCAGAAGATTGTCTGCGAGTGCATTCGATATGTTTCCACGATCGAGCTGTGATAGTCAGTATTTCTGATCGACTAGCACAATGTATGAACTTTCCTGCAGCCCGAACATCATGAGACAGAGCCATGTGAGTAGCCGGAGGTCTGTCTTGCGCACCACGCGCCGTTCTTCCTCAATCGTCCAGCTCGCCTGGGGGTCGAAGCGATGCCGGCCTTCGTACGTCTCGTGGGGTGGGACGATATCCGCAAGTTCCTCTCTACCCACGTGGGCCGATGATTTGAGCGAATTGGCATCTTCACTGATCCGTGTGGTGTGCGGGGATGCTTCTATGTCGTTGCCCATCGTCAAGGGCTGCGATTGTCGGCTACAGCACAATTGCCACGAAGGAAGGTTATTGCTGAGATGTGATAGACTGGACACTGCCCATTCCCTGCTATGCTCTCTTGTCTCCTATTTATTACTTTGGACATGGCATGTCGCAATTCAAGCTCATCCCGTCGCCATCGTCGCCATCCTACCGAGGTAGTAATTGCCCCGAAGAACGAGGGGAAAGCACAATGTTGTGCATGTTGATGCATCTCCTATTGGTCTTACTGTCGACATCCGACTTGGCGTTCACGGGGTCATGTAGGCTAGGCCCGGCACGCCTAGACCCAGAGCGTACAACTAGTCCGATGACGTGCTTTACCATGCATGCGGTGGTGTCACCCTGGTTCCGGGAATGATTATATGTCCTGGACTTCCAGACATTCGGAGCCGTTGGTTTGGAGGCTATCCAAGCGTTTTACAACACTGAATTTGAGCCGGAAGTTGCACTAACCGCGCACCACATTGCCTTCAAGATGCCTTCAGTCAAGCGCAGTCGTATGGAAGACGTTCATGAAGACGGAGATGCAAATATCATTGGTGGTCACCCAAGCGCCCGATCGAGACTGTTGGAGCCCTTGATCTATTCCGGATCCTTGGACAGCTTCAGACACCAAGACTTGACCCCAGTCATTGGAAGGGAGTTCGAAGGTCTTCAAGTGACTGATCTGCTCCGATGGGGCGATGCTACGATCAAAGATCTGGCAATAACGGGTATGACTCTCTGTGTGCAGCTTGATGGACTCATGGCTGACTTATAGTTCCAGTCTCACAACGTGGCGTTGTCTTTCTGCGAGATCAAGATGTTACGCCGAATCAGATGAAGGACTTGATGCTGCGAATCACCGAATTGTCTGGCTGTGTACGTCCAATTGACTGCGATGTAGGTTCTAATCAAGCAATAAACTGACAACACATTAGCCTTCTTCCTCAAGTTTACACGTACATCCTCTCACCGAAGAGGGATCTGAGCTCGGCGACCAGATCTCAGTTATAAGTAGCGAAAAGCAAAAGAAAGGTGGCGGTCTCACTCACCAACTCTCGGACGTATCTCGCCTTGCAAGTGCGGGCTGGCATAGCGACATCACATTTGAGCCAGTCCCATCGGACTATGCGATGTTGAAAATCCACAC